TTAAACCATGAACGACCAAAATCAAAATGTGTTATCATTGGAGTTTGTTTGAATTCTCTCTTTTTTTTAAATTAGAAGTTATTTATAAACAAAGGTTAAAAAAAGGTTAAAAGTTGTTTGATAATTATATAAACTTTTAACTTAAAAGCACATATTTCAAGAAAATTCTCTCTCTCTATCTCTATAGCTCTTCAGCACACAATTCAAGAAAAGCTGATAAAAGTTTAAAAAAAATTAGTTTTTAGTTTTTTTCTTTATTATTAAAAAAAAGAATTCATTATAAGAGTTTTTCTCAAAATCTGTTTGTCCTAGCTTCTACTTATAAATAATTTGTAATTTAAAAAAGAGATGATCCAAATAGATATTTAAATTATAAAACAAAATAATTTATTTTTTTTAAGACTTCTTCGCCAAGTTTATCGATTTAATCAACTAATCCGATCAAGTCGGACGTAATAATGACAAAACTTAACACAACCGCAAATCCAAAAATTGAAACAAAATTGATTCACATGCTTGATTGGAAAAAAAGTTAACTGAAGAAATATTATAATTATGTGAAGAATGTATACAATTTTTTAACTGAAATTGAAGTCTTCAAACCTTAATCCAAAATTAATGCGAATGAACTGGAAAATTCCTTTCTACATAACCTCAGCCATGTAATTATGCCTGTGTATACATGGTTGAGAACTTCGTCATTCTAAAATTGCAAGCGGCTTTACTGTATATGTTTTAATACTGGACACATCTTACATTGCCATTATTATTTATCCAGCCCAATACAATTACATGGAAGATATTGGAGTTCTAAGAGCAGTCCGCAACTGCTTTTTGGTAAAAATAAGAGTGCAAGTATTGGGAAAAAAATAAAAAAAATTGGCGCCAAATCGTTCTCCATTCTGACCTTGCTTGATCCAGTAGAAACTAGAATTGGGACATAGTAAGTTTCAAATTAGCTTTACAAAAAATTTGTACCAGATGTTTTAGCTTAAATTATTTAATTTCAATTACTTAAAAAACTTACACGCACGAAATCTGTGATATGCCAACCGGTGTATATAACAAATCGTGATATACCTGTTTGGATGAAAAAGAACGTGATACTTGACTGATTCTATGTATGGCAGTTTTGAAAATGAAGACCGTGGCTCTTAATTGAAAATACATATACATAGTTAAGAAAATTTAAGATACAACTCCATAATGCAAAGAATTGAAATGCTTTATGAACATGTATCAAAACAACTTTATTCTCTTAAATGATGACTGATTCGACGTAGGATGTGTGTTGAACTTGCTAGTTATCAACATTAAAAGTAGTTAACATGACTCGATATTTTTTTGATGGGACCCACATAAAATGTAAAAATAATTCATTACTTGTATATATAATTATTACTTTGCTTAATAATTTATGTACTTTCATTGTAATATTCTAACGATACTCTATTAAGGGTCCGTTTGAATGACCTTTTTTTCAGTCAGAAGTTACTTTTTTTTTTAAAAAAAAAAACACTTTTATTTTAAAGTGTATTTGGATGTTGCTTCTAAAAAAAGCAGAAGTCATAAAAAAAGTCAAAAACTTACTTTTTTCAGAAGCTACAAATTTTAACTTCTCAAAAAAGCAAAAGTCAAAAGCTAATTTTTTTTTTTCAAAAAATAAATATTTTTTTAAAAATCTAAATAGTTTTAACTTTAATAAAAAGCACTTTAAAAATAAGTAAGATATAAAAATAACTGTTTTTTAAAGGCAATCCAAACCAAACCACATTAGCAACACTCATCTTATCAAATGTTTTATTACTTGCTCACGTACAAATTGTCAAAAGATTCAGCTGGACTACGTTAACCGAACTTTCAAGTAAAAGTATTATTATTTATTAATGCGCAGCTGATGGCATCCTTTGACGATAATGATGAATCACGGGCCACAGATTTGATGAAGATGATGATGTTTAACTTGACTCTAAAACTCCCATATTAGAAAGACGCAAATGGTGGTAGCTAGCTTGATGCATGGGAGCTAAGTAAGTGGGGGTGAGAGTATGTATATTCGAATCTCTCCAATACCACCTTTGAGAGAGGTTTAAAGCTTTAATCCTGAACTCACCCCGAATTAGATTAGTTGCAAAGCAATGAACCGATTAGTATATTTTCAAAAAGAAAGACGCAAATCATGCCACATTATGTGTTTTCATAGGAAATGTTTCCAATAAACTAAGAAAATTAAAACCGTCCCGATGATGCATGCTTTACAGATCATCTACAAGAAAAGGGCATATATTCAGTACTTTTAATATATCCGGATGAATCATGAGTTACTTTGTTACTGGTTAGGATGGTTGAAGGTGAGCATGTAGAGCATTTTTTACTGGAATTTTTTTTGGCTTTTTCACTTTTCATTTTTAATATTGTATTTTATTATGAAACCAGTTAATATTATTTTGTTATAAAAAAGAAGTTGAGTTCATAAACAGATATATAACTTAAATTTGATTCAGTCCGTAGTCACCGCCTTGTCCAAAATGCAATCTTTTTTGTTGTTTATAATATCACTCATTTCGAATTAGAGTAATACGCTTTTTTTTGGTCTAAAGAGTAATACACTTTTTAATGAATAGATAAAATTATAGTTAGCCTCGCTAATAAATTGATAGTGGACTCAAGTTATTTATTAGGACGAGCATTCTAGCATGAAATTGCACTTAATAATTAAAATGTAAAAAAATATAAAAAATTATTTTTGAGTAAATACCTTTTTTGGTCCCTAACAAAAAACACGGTCCCCACTTTAGTCCCTTACAAAAATAAATTAGTCAGTTAGTACCTAACAAATTCAAAGTGGACCCATTTAGTTGAAATCGTAGTCCTCATAAATTCAAAAAAGACCCATATTAGTCCCTCAAAAGGACTAAAATGGGTCCACTTTGAATTTGTTAGGGACTAACTGACTAGTTTATTTTTGTAAGGGACTAAAGTGGGGACCGTGTTTTTTGTTAGAGACCAAAATGATATTTACTCATTGTTTTTAATATTTCTTTATTAAGTGTGTGATGGTTCTCAAAAATTGAGATCCATTTAGTGTTTATATGCTCTTAAATTCTTCATTTTGCTATTAAGTTTTAGTGTTTTATTTCAAGTTTGTCTTTGGGAGTAATATATGAATAGCTTCGGTTGGAGAAAACACGAATATGGAGTTTGAGTAGTACTGAGAGCATTTCAGCTTAATTTTTATCATTGAGCATAATGGCCTGAATTTCTCTTTGTAGCAACCCATTTTCCATTAAGAAAACTCAACCATTGTTAAAAGCAAATTTGGGAGTGAAGCAATAAGAAAAGGACAAAAGAGACACTAAAGCAAAAGCAACTCTTGTAGCATCCTTGGAGTAGGCACGAAACAATCCTGAAGCGCCATGTCAACGGTAGCAGCGAAGGAATGTAGCAGCACCTCAACGTCAATGTACTAACAATTGCTACAATGGATATGGCTGACTTGGCAGAAAGGAGAACTCTTATTGGAGAGGATTTGAAGGATTAAGAGTCTTTGATTAAATCAACGGTAGAGAGCAACCATGAAAAGGAAAAAGCACTTGCAATTAAAAGGAAATCAGACCCCTTCTGTAGAGGATGTACTAACAATTGCTACAATGGATATGGCTGACTTGGCAGAAAGGAGAACTCTTATTGGAGAGGATTTGAAGGATTAAGAGTCTTTGATTAAATCAACGGTAGAAAGCAACCATGAAAAGGAAAAAACACTTGCAATTAAAAGGAAATCAGACCCGTTCTGTAGAGGATGTACTAACAATTGCTACAATGGATATGGCTGACTTGGCAGAAAGGAGAACTCTTATTGGAGAGGATTTGAAGGATTAAGAGTCTTTGACTAAATCAACAGTAGAGAGCAACCATGAAAAGGAAAAAGCACTTGCAATTAAAAGGAAATCAGACCCCTTCTGTAGAGGATGTACTAACAATTGCTACAATGGATATGGCTGACTTGGCAGAAAGGAGAACTCTTACTGGAGAGGATTTGAAGGATTAAGAGCCTTTGATTAAACCAACGGTAGAGAGCAACCATGAAAAGAAAAAAAAAACACATGCAATTAAAAGGAAATCATACCCCTTCTGCAGAGGATGTTCATTCTAGGCTAGACGCCATTTTTGCACTTTAATCTTTCTGTAGTTTTTAGATTTTCTTTCGTTTTTATCATGCTTCCAAGAATGAGCTAAGTTTCTCTAGTAGGCTAAAGGTGAGATATAAATAGCCCTCTTTGTCTTCTTATTTTTTTGTTTATGTGTAATTATGAAATTAGGGAGGTAGTTCTGCTGTGATTGATTCAATTGGAGTGATCCTAGGGTATAGGTTAAGAATAATCAAGGTGTTGATCACAGTCTTGTAAAAGTCCAATTGAGGTTTGGTTCAAGTGGAGTGATCCTAGGGTTTAGGTTAAGGGTGATCAAGTAGATCACAACTCTTGTAAAATTTCTCTTGTAAAACAGTTTCTTCAAGCACCGGTTGAAAGCTTGATGATAGTGGAACGATAGGCCTCAGTCTGGATGTAACTTTCAGTGGTGGAGAGTGAACCAAGATATATCCCGGTGTTATCTTCTCTTCCCTTACTCTTTTATTTTCCGCTGCATATATTCTCTATGATTCATTATTCTTGATGTTTTGAATCTTTTTAGGATTTGAGAATTTTTTTTTTAATTGTTAAATTTATCTTGCATGCTTTCTTTTAAAAAGGGGTTTTTAATTTTATTTGTTTAATTCAGAAAAAGTTCAAAACACAATTCACCCCCTTCTTGTGTTGTTATTTAGCCATTATTTATTTACAGGCATTTCTAATGAAAATATGTGAATGAGATAATTTCCCTTTTCTTTGGCAGGAAAAGCTAAAGAATGGTTAAGAACCTTGCCCCCAAATTCAATTACAAACTGGAAGCAACTCCTGGAGCAATTTGTTGCAATGTTCTTTTCACACGCAAAAAAGCTCAAGCCAGATCTGACATCACTTCATTTCAGATGCATGATGGAGAGAATTTATATGAAGCATGGGAGCGATACAAAGATCTACTCAGAAAATGTCTCAACCATGGAGTATCTAACTGGGGAATCATTCATATCTTTTATCATAGTTTGATATCACAACTCAAGGCAACCATGGACACAGCAGCTGGAGGAGATCTTTTTATTGTACTTATGATGAAGTAGTTCGATTGCTAGAGAAATTGGCCAAGAAGCATATCCAATGGCCTTCAAAGAGATAAAATGCTCCAAAGAAAGCAGGAACTATAGAATTGGATGGAACCAATGCTCTCTCAGCATAAATGGCATACTTGCAAACACCATAAAGAATTGGAAGCTTGCTGAGTAATCTAAACCGCCAAATAATTTTGAACAACTTTATTTGACTAAATCTATTCAAAATTATTCTATTTGTAATGGACCTCGTGAATCTGGTGATTGTAACACTGAACTTACCACTGTATGGTATGCAGGAAACTACAACAATAACAACAGGAGCAACAACCAGAATCAATGGTATAATAATCAAGGATGGAGGAATCAAAACAATGCTGGGAGCAGTTTCGATAATTACCAAAATAAACCTCTATACCGACAGCAATAGAACCAAAGCTCAAACAGGAATGAAGGAAGACTCCAATCCTTAGAAAACATGTTGAACGATTACATGAATCAAAACAATGCAGTCATGCGAAACATTGAGACACAAGTCGCCAGAGAGCCCAAGGAGCACTGGCCAGTGATGCGGAGAAACCTACCGGAGATGAAAAAGAGTTTTGCAAAGCCTACGAGATGGTAGAGTTATTTCGTAACCTGAAGCAATAGTAAGACCACATAAGCGAAGGAATGAAAAATTGCTCTTGTAGGTTGATGAAGGAAGTTCTAAAAGTGAACCTATTGATGAACCAGTGTGACAACAAAGAGCAACACCAGACCTGATTGATAGATCTGAAAGAGAGTCATCCAAAAAGGAGCCAGAAGTTGTTCCTCATAAAAAATGCTCTGAAACTCAGAAAAAGGTGAAGCAGGAACAACACCTACCGTCTCTACACCTAACATAACCCCAGACACAAGAAACATCAATCCACAAGATTTTTCACCACCCTACCTTCCATCCACCAAAAGAAGGAGTGAACCTATTGACCCTCATTTTCCACAGAGGCTTAAAAAGCAGCATGAAGATAAACAGTTTGGGAAATTCCTAGACTTGTTGAAACAACTCCACATAAACATTCCACTTGTTGAAGCCCTTGATAGATGCCTTCATATGCAAAATGTAACATCTCGAGTGCTGACGATTGTATGGTTAGTGGAAGAGCTAATGTACAATTGAATGTATGGTTAGTGGAAGAGCTAGCGTACTATCAGCGGGAGGGGTACATGAATGAATCGAATAACACCGGAAAGAGAGGGATTCCAGAGATTGTGCTGGTATAGGACAGCACAGCTGAGGATAGCTTATAAGAATTAATTAGTACTACCTATACTAACAAGATGCATCTACTTTTCGGTAACCCGGATCGGAAGAACTCCACAGTTAAGCGTGCTTGACTTGGAGCAATTCAGGGATGGGTGACCTCCTGGGAAGTTTTCCCGGGAAGTGTGCGAGTGAGGACAAAACACGCTGAAAAGTCTCGTGTTAGTGTGTGGGGATAGTCGTTGATGCTTGCAAGTGGCCAGGCACTACACAACATTTATGAAGGATGTTTTATCCAAAAAGAGAAAAATAGAAGAATTGGAAACATTGGCTTTAACTGAAGAGTCATATAAGTATCTGACTAAAATCCCACCAAAGTTGAAAGACCTAGGGGCCTTCGTACTATTGGGAAAACATACCATGGGAGAGCACTCTGCGATTTGGGATCCAGTGTCAACCTAATGCCGACTTACATATTCAAGCATCTTGCAATTGGTGACTCAAGACCAACATCATTAACTTTGCAGCTTGCTGATTGTTCCATTGCTAAGTCTGAAGGAAAGATTAAAGATGCTCTTGTTCAAGTAGATAGATTCATTCTCCCAGCCGATTTCCTCATTTTGGATTTCGAAGCTGACCAAGAAGTTCCCAAAATTCTCGGCAGACCTTTTCTCGCTATTGGAGATGCGATGATTAATATAAGAAATGGAGAGCTCTCCATTAATGTCAATGGAGAACATGTGAAGGTCAATGCCATGAAAGCAAGGAAAATAATGATGACAATGCTGAAGAATGCTCCAGAATTTTCGCTATTGATATAGTGGTAGAAGAAGAGCAAGCAAGGGTGCAATTGAAAGAGCAATCTGGGCTCCTTAAACCAGAAGTTACGATGAAAAAATTTGAAGAACTAGAAGAATATCTTACTTCAATGAACGTTGTTCTGCCTTAGAGCAGAAAAGAAAAATCATTTGAATCCCTAAACCGGTTAGAAGAGGAGCAGAAACCCAAGCTCCGATCCCTAGAGCAACCACATGTTTTGGAGTTAAAACCCTTACCAGGACATTTAAAGTACATCTACTTGGGTAAGGAAATTACAAGAGTCAATAGAAAAAATAACAAAGAAATGTAATGATATTAATAAAAAAAGTAAAACATAATATAATTTTCTCAATCAGTAATTTGATGTAACTTGATGTCTTACTAAGCAACAACTCTTCATATATTTATACTAGCCCTCCACATATAAGCATATTCTCGTTATTGCTCTTGGGTTTGACCAATGGGTAAAAAATTATCTTCTTCATTTGGTATTAAAGCTATGCATATATGATTATAAGAACCATAACTTTTTTATTTATTAAAATAATTCAAAATTTGCATACAGAACCTAAAGTTCATGATAAAATTTCGTTTGGCGCTTTTTGCTGTTGATCTTGAAAGCCTTAGGGTTTTTGTTCTACGTGATTAGAGTTTTATAATCATATATCATATGCAATTTTTGATTGAGTATTCTAAGAAAATTTTGAATCTGAATTTGTGAGTTTTATTACATGAAAGTTTAGAAAATTTCTCAAATTATTTCCATTCGATACATTGACACCTTAAATTGCTTTGGGGCTTTTGAAAAATAAGTTTTTAGCGATCTATTGACAAAAAAATATTTGAAATCATTTCTTATAGCGAAGGAATTTCGTTCATAAATGTATTGTTACGAAACATAGGGTTTATATTATGAAAGTTTCAAACTTTCTTTAAATCGATCTCGTTTAATTGATGTAAAATGAAAATTGATTTTGGGGTTTTTATTCCCCTATTGTTTACCACTATTTTATGGTTTTTTTAGTACAAAAATCACACCTTTTTGCGTCAAGAAAAGTCGCGACCATAGCTTGAAAAGTCATTTTCTAAACTTCCAAAAGCTCTTCAAAATCAATCAAATATATGCTATTTTCGATATGTATTATATTAGAATCTTGTTGGATTGTTATTTTTGGGTTATTTTGCAATGAAAATCACTCAAAACTCTGCTGTTTTTGAGCTTTAACGAAGCTACTTTGGTGAAACCCGATTTTGAGCGAGACGACCCATCAAGGGAAGAAGAAGCACTGCAATAGACAAGTCCCAATAAATCCTAGGGGTTAGGGTCAGTGTTATTAAACCCGACCCGAGCATCGACCCGGTCAGGGTACTGGTTACTGGGTCACTGGTCGGACCCGTTGAACCGGATATATATAGATATATATATATATATATATATATATATATATATATATATATATAAACATATAAATTCGTTTATATTCTTCATATCTAAAATGAATTAAACAAGGTTCATTAAATAAACTCAAAAACAAGAAGCATAAATAAATAAAAATACATGCTATTACTATGTCAATTAAATTGCAACTCAGAATCCCCATAAACATACCTCTCAATAATATTGAACTCATATTTCTCAAATTCAACTACATTAAAAATGACATATGTCACATTCTCTTAATTTATTATTGCGCAAATTGCTTCAGTATTAGAAGCTAAAATTTAAGGTCAATGTAGAAGAGTATACTAGCAAATAAAATTACAAAAAGTTTTTAAAATGTGTTCTATTTTTTTTTAACAAGATGAAACAATTTTTTTTTTGTTTTTTTTTTTAAATGCGTGACCTTACCGGTCACTGGGTCACCGATTTTGTCCGGGTTTGACCGAGTCAATGCTTGACCCGAACCGATCCAATGACCGGTTCACTGGGTTTCGAGTCGGGCCGGGTTTTACAACTATGGTTAGGGTGAGATTGTAAGAAAGGCATCCTATTTATACTTATCATTAAAAAGTCTCATAAAATCCATACTAATAGAAAATCCACTAAAATCGTTAGATTTTTGAATACCACAAGATTTTTTTCCTTTGTTTAACTTCTTGATTGAATACCACCGGATTTGAACAGATTATAAAATAATCTTTTAAAATCATAATCAAATACCTCATGATTTTTTTTCAATTTTTGAAAATCCTAATTGAATACCAATAGATTTTTGTATCCAAAAATAATTCTTTAAAATTTCAATCCAATACATCCTCCTAAATTAAGGGATTAATATTTTTCATGTTGTAGGAGATAAATTTATCTCCTACACACATTAAAAGTATGTATGATCTATATTTTTTTTCTCTCTTCTTCTCGCATTGACTCATATAGGCCTCCATATACTTTTATGTGTATGTAAGAAATAAATTATCTCCTATAATATTAAAAATATTAATCTCTTAAATTAAATCCCGCTAGTTTTTTCCTCCTTGTAATCGAAATCAAATCACTTATCTTTTTGTATTCCTTTAATTGAAAATAATAAAACAATATTAAAATTAAGAATTTAAATAGAAAATATTATCATTTAAAAAATACCTGCTTTATTAAGGTGTCAGTTTTAGTTATTGGAACAAAAAAAGGGATAAATAAAGAGAATAAAAGATCGGGTTCCGTGTATCCATCGTCAGTGCAAAATTAAATTTCTTTAAACGGGGTCAGAAAAATTGTCATAAGGAGGAATCTAGATTTTCTAGTGTGAAAAAATATATAATATAATTATGTGAAAAATTATAATTATAATCAATAATTATTGAAACTCAAGATCTCAAGAAACTAACAACAGAGGAGAG